CGGAATCGTTCCGAAAATTAGGATATCTGGGGAGTCCGGATCCGATAAGGATAGTAAAATCTAGGATCCGTGAAAAGAGGATCCGGATCCAGATAACAAAATTTTAAGGTCCGGATATCCGGATCTGGATCCGGACGCATTAAATATATTAAAAACATATATATTATATATCTATTAAGCTAATTTTATATAAATAAATATATATATATATAAATTGATTTTAGTTTTTTTTTTATAATAAATTATATTAATAATGAAAAATATCATTTAAAATATTAATTAATAATTTTTTAAAATATATTTTTATTTATTTATTAATTATTTTAATTATTTTTAATATTAATTTCGGATCCGGATATCCGCGGACATCCGTTTTTTTTTGCCGGATATCCAGAGTCCGGATAGTTTTTTTCACAGATCCGACGACTCCGGATCCGGACGCGGATACCTTGAAATTCCAGGATATCCGGATCCGTTCCACCCCTACATGATATAACTTGGACGAGACTGATTATACTCACCCTCGCTTTTAAAAAACGAGAAAAAGACAGAGAAATTGCTAGGAATTTTATTGATATCAAATCGGTGGGATATTGGCATGTTTTCTTGTAGTGGTCTATCAAACTAGGGTTACAATTTTGTGGTTTTCCCAAGTCAAACAGACCTGTTTTTTTACTTAAAATAACGAGACGGCATCGTTTTGAGCCAACAAAACCAAGTCACATAACCCACATCCACATGTCCTTCTAGTCATTATTCCGTTAATGTTGACTAATCGAATTTTGGTCAAAGTATATTTCGGCACATTAGATGTTAGTTCATGTATTAAATTTGAATTATTTTTTGAATTCGGGTTGAAATAAGCCATACGTAAAAGTTCAAGTGCATGACAGGAAAAGTCTAGGTCCAAATTGACCGTTTTACCTAATGATATATATTCAATGCAGGAAGATCTCTACTTTCCACAATCATTTGTACAAGACTGGTTTTGGAAAATTGTTCATATGTTGTCGGAGAATATCTTCAACCATTGGCCTTTCAAAAAATTCATAAGGGAAAAAGATCTCCGGAAAACAATGGAACTTATTCACTACCATGACGAAGCCACCCGGTACATTACCGGTGGAGCTATCCCAAAGATAAAATTTTTCTCCAATGTAATGTTAAATTTTAAAATTTTTGAGATGTAACAAGTTGTAAATGTCCCTTTTTGATATATCTAGCCATTTCACATGCTTGCTTGTTGGGTTGAAGATCCAGAGAGTGATTATTTCAAAAAAACATCTTGCTCGAGTCCCTTGTTTCATATGGATTGGCGAGGATAGCCTCAAAATAACTTCTTTTTTATCTTTTAATTAGTATTATGGCCCCTGCAATGCAGGAGCATGTGAAGGTTAGTCTGAATGTTATCTTTACTATGTGTTGGATTAAAGTTGTTGTTACCGTTGGAGGTTTTGTCTTTGGTCATTTGGTCGTTATATGGTCAAAGGCAATGACTCTGTTTCAAGTGGAAGGTTTCCACTACAAAGAGTAAAGTGAACACACTGTCCGAATTAGAAGGTCTTGGAGATAAGATCTTTTGTTATCAGGACCACATCTCTCTCAACTGGATCCAATTTTTATAAAACCTTTTCTCTCAAATACCAACCTCCAACACCAAAAAAATTCTCATATAACCCCATAACCCTTACTAAAGTGGTAAATTACT